GATTTAGTGCTCTCCTTAAGAGAGGGGGACTGGGGAAGCCAACCACTGTAAGTACTTTAATTCATTCTGATTGGTTCCCGATGAGGTCATTGTCCCACCATGCTTTGTACCACCCTATCTAAGCTGCAGTCGGACCCAAGTCTTTCAGTCTTCATCATGGCCACTTGCGTGACCCTGGCGTGATTTGTGTCGCCATGGAAATCCGTGAGACCGATCCCAGTCCTCCGTCGAGGCTGGTGGGCTGTTTTCCAACATGGCCGACTTTTGTGGGCGCCGCCATCTTGAATTCTTAATTCGGCTCCTGATTGGTCCGATTTTTCAAGGCGCCATCTTGGATTTAATGAGCAATAGCATCCATTGTTCTCCAAACGATAGCCCATTGTCTTTCTCGGCTCCTGATTGGTTACCGGCCATATCATTTCCTGGCAACTTTTACAAATCCAGACGTCAAAAAATGTATCTTTTTATTTACGTTGACGCGTCTGCTTAGATAAATCTAAAACTCCATGGAAAGCTATTTTAGCAGACAGTGCTCGTACCTGTTTCTGGTGGCTTCTGTATTTGATAGGAGTCCTTGCCATTGTCCAATGATGGATGCTTTCTCGTTAGTTACCAGTGTTTTTTCCAGGTCACGCATGTTCGGGTCGTGAACAATCTTTTCTCCAAGTTGATCAAGTTTATCCATCTGTTTATCGTATTGTTTAATTTCCTTCATTAAATCCTACATAAAAAAGATTGTCTGTCTCAGCTCAAGGATAAAAACAATAAATTAAATCAATCCGGACATTTAGTGAAATTTCCCTGTTCTCGTTCTTTTAAGAAATTTATCATTGAGTAGACTAGTATTTCCTGACTGGTTTCTTCTGCTGTTTTTATTGCTTTAAATAAATCACTGCTACAAGCATTTTTTTTCTACCTCAATTTCTTGCTTCTGAGCCCGCGCGTGGTCGAGGTCTGGAGCGGTATGATCTTGTGCCTGCACACGCGCAGAAGAATCAGCTATCCACTTGAGAGTGGAGTTACAAGAGTTTTTCCATTCATCCAACAAGGCTTTTTGACCCTTCTGTACGGTTCTGTACGCTTCTTCGATTCTGCCATAAAAGATAATGAAACATAGAAACAGTTAAGATTAGGTCTGTTGAAACCAGATGGTCCAGATAGCACTGGTACTGGCTTCTGCAGTACGAAGTGACATCAAATGGCCATTGCAGGTCAATCCCAGTGTGCGCGACTGACATTTCGCTGATATTATAGCCGTACATGTGGATAATCCTGTGTGGTGGGGCAGTGAGAGAATTATGTCTTACTAAAGAACACAGTGCTCAAGCCCTGACCCTTAGCTCGTTCGCTTAAATGTAATTTTATCGTATTCACAAACCTTGGCTCTCTTGAATTAGCGTCGTTCTTTACTTTGTTCCAACGTTTCTCGAGCAATTCAGACTCGCGCTCAACCGTCTGGTGATCCTCGTCAGGTAAATCGCTATTATCGAGCAAACTGTCAGAGCTCTTGAGAAATTCTTCAATTTGAGGGTCCAGCAGGGCCACGTCCTCTTTCAAATTCTGCAGAAAGATGACGAAATGCATTAGCATTATAGTATCGAAAGTAATCAGGCAAAAGAAAAGAGAAAAGATAGAAGAAAACAGGAAGATTTCACGTTAAATAAGTGAGAGTGTTTGGATAACGCCCTGTTTACTTCTATGCTTCTCTGATAGTTCAAACACACCGTATGATAATCAAAACTGCGTTCAAGGACAACGCCAACTGAAAAAATATGGCTATTCATCCTCGTACAGGCGTCTTTGAGATTGAAATTCTACGTCCTTGTTAAGGGTTGCTGCTTATGGAAATGGTGTAAAGAAAACACGCTATCAATGACCCACCTTGGCCTCCTTTCTTTGCTGTTCAAGTGTCTCCAGATCGGGAGCTATTTCTTGCTCACAGATACTTTCAACTTTCGAAACGTCCTCTTGGATTGTCACAAGCTGGTCGTTCCACCTCGTAAACTCCCCTTCAGTTTTCTCCAAGTTCAAAAGCTCTTCTTCGAGCCTGTAAGTAATATTATGACAATTTTATTACTTGTATGTTTCGTTCAGGGACGTGTTTGCTGAATGGCCTACCACAAGAATTTAGATCGGCATACTACTACGAATCAACCGTTCTAAACTCGACGAGGAGACTGACGCTCACTGTAGTTGCTTAGATACATGGGGAATGAGATAGAACTTGTATGCATGGAAAAGTAATTATACTGGTGTAACACTATATTACCTTCGCGGCATTTTTTCACGTTTGATGTAGAATAGTGTTAAGTTTGTTCTTCTTTGATTTTCCAAGGCGTATTGCTTTTCAGATATTATCGTCGCAAAGAATAATAACAACCACAATCCTCGTTACTGATAAGCTACTTTATTATACATTGAACTCGTTATCCCTTTTCCGATTGGCCGAAAGCGTACAGTGAATTTTCGAAATCAGCACCTGTGACGTCATCTAGCTGCAGATTATACAATAATCATGTCAAGGACACTCAAGGTCACGGATATTCGTGTCATGCGTGACCGCGTTGCATAATTTCTAAGGGAAATCATGTCAAGTTCGCGCGCTTTGTGTTGCTTGCCGTTAGCGAAGAAACAAAAAACACGACAAAACATTTTTTACTTCGTTCAATGTATAATAAAACAATTATTAGATTCGCTTTTTGTGATATCTAGAATAATCAAGGTCACGGTAAGGTTTATCAGCCTCAACCTTTGGCTTCGGCTGATAACCTCTACCTGCACCTTGATTATTCTGGATATCACAAAAACCCCATCCAATAATTGTCTAAAGAAACGCTAATCACTTGAATCATACACCAGGGGCAGAAAAAGTTCAGTTGTCGCTAAATGATTTTCGTGTACTACTAAGTGACTTTCGCTTTCCAAGGTTACCAAACTGCATGCAGCGCCTGGTTTACAATGACCATTTCATTACCCATACTTATGATATAACCTATACTTCCAATATAGAGCATTGTTATTACTTAGCCTGGTGACTATTAATCTTGTCGACGACCCTCGCCCATCGCTCAAGACGGTTGTTTTTGTCATTTTCTATGCTCTCTTTGGACTTTTGATCGATTGCGGGATCTGTTGCTAAATCGCCAGCGCAATTCTCAAAATCATACACTTTCTTCTGCTGTCCAATAAGAAGTCCCGCCGACTGCTAATATTTGGAGGAAAGAGAGAGATCCTTCATCAGAGAGTCATAAGCACTCATGAAACTAACATGTTAGCAGCTACACAAACAGACTATGTCACCAGATTTATAAATCATTTGCCAGACTCCACACACGCCGGGTCTCACAAAGGGAAATGGGCGCGGAAGTCATGAAAAAATATCAATACCCATACGTTCTGTAGAAAGGAAAACTCTTTCCTAGGAATAAAAAAAATCTTACCTCGAAGTCCTCATTTTGTAGTTTGACAGTGTCCAAGTCGTCTCCTATTGGTTCGAGTCTCTCTGTCTCCCTCTCTGCTTTACGCAAAAAGCTGTCAAAACTGCTCAGTCTTTCCTCCCATTCATGAAGTTTGTCTCTCCTCTCCCTTTGCAACCTTTTAGAAGCTTCGCCAAGCCTTGAATAATGTACGTAGGAAAAAAGAGAACCCGAGTTAAGCAACGGTAAAGTAAAGGATGGTTTTCCTTAAGGCGTAAGGATAAAAACAACCGTATGACAACTTAGCGAAGACAGTAGCGACAATGTTCAAAAGGAAAACAAACACTGCTCATCTGCATAAACAGTATTTTGTTATCACTAGAAGTCAAGGTCTACTCGAACAAAGAATGCATTATTACTATTATGAAAAATTATTACTATTTGTTAAAAAGGTAACTAAACGATATGCACCCTATATCTCTCTACATACCTTTCCTTTCTTAACGCCATAAAATCCTTGACTCTGTCCCAGCGTGCTGTCAATGAATCGAGATGCTCGTCCACCTCATCTTTGCGTTTTTGGGTGAGCTTTGGATCCTTCCTGACTTTCTCGCCTAATGCAATTGTGTCAATCATCTGAGGCGTGTTCAGTTCCACTTCGTTTGCAAATATCTACGAAAACAGAGCAACGCCAGAAGTTGACAAAGATACAATTGGCATTGATAAAAAAGGTTATTCTCTAAACATACACAGTTATAATATCTTCCACGATTACTTGATAAATACAGAAATAAACCTTTTTAACAAAGAACGTTGAATGTCAATGGTTCCAGTTAATAAACCAAAACCGCTTTAGGCTGAATAATTGGTGTCAATAGAACCCGTTGTCCTGTGACTGGTACAGTGACTTGGATTCATCAAAGCATGTGCAACAATAGTCTCCTACGCAGACGCTCTTTGGGTTCGTCAAGAGGACGAAGAAGATTGCGTGACGAGCCCTAAGAGTGTCCGAGTAGGAGGCTAGTGTAACACGTAACCTGTCTTACTTAGGTACCGCATGGAATGCAGGTCAAGATAAGACAAATACAAGTTACTCCGAGCCTACCTCAAACGCATCTTCCTGCCTCCTTACTGTCTCTAGGTTATTTCCTATTGGATCATCAATAACTGATATTTGGCCTTCCAGCTTATCTAACGCCAGTCCCGATCTTTCTGAACGAATCCTCCAGCGTTCCAAAGTATCCTGTTGTTGTCGTTCTAATTTGTCAAGATTTTCCTCCATTCTTAAAAGAGAAAAAAAGAGCTTAAACTTGCTGCATTAAAAATACAAACTGGAAAGTATCAAGAAATTTTACTGATTGAAGTAGACTGAAATATTTTCGTGCATTTCCAACCGCAAGTCTCAATGTACTAGAGATCCCCCTTAACGTGTATTAACAGCTGAAACAGTTCGACGCTACTTGTGTCAGTACGCTCACCACCACCACCACCACCACCATCATCATTATCAGTAATGATTCTTCCAGAGCTAATCATAAATTACATTTTTGCCGTTTAGGATAATGCTGAAGCCACGCAAAGTGAGTAACTTCAAGCTATTGCATTTACGATGGCGTTATTGGACTAATAGGCGTAAAAAGGCAAGGTAGGAGGGGGAATTTGAGAGCTCTTTCCTTCTCACTCGCGCCCAACTTCTTCACTTGTCCCAGTTCCCTTTGTACGCCGTCTGCACAGACTATTTATCAAGGTAATGTAAAAACAATATGGCCAGTAAAGGGAATACTCAGTTACCTGGCTTGTCGAGCATTGGCGAGGTTAACCAGGTCGTTCCAGTTTTCATTGCAGATCACAGTTTCCTCGCGCACATTTCTTCTTTCTTCTTCGCCAAGACATGGGTCGGACACTAGGTTGCCACTGAACTCATTTAGATAGGTGACTTTTTCTTGATACAAGGGAGCATCTTTGATAACGTCCTTTTTTACGATGGGAACAAACGGCAAACTTACATGTATTTAACTCTGAAATAAGTCTCAACATTGTTTTATTTTTCTGAAACTGATGCAGCTGCCATCGGGGGACTTGATCATGCGAGGAGTACTTGGCATTTTTCAAACTTACCTGCTTCCACAAAAATTCTTCCAAGTTTAACGAATAATTAGTTCATGCTCAGTGTGCATCTCTCGAGTAATTAAAGCACCCGAAAGTTTGGAGAGCAAGAAAAAAAAACTAAATAATTTTTTCGCGCCGTAAAGACAGCGAATGTCTGCTGGCTGACCACTTTTGGCAAATGGAGATTTTAATGTGGCTGGGTAATTTCCTAATCAAGGCACAATGGCAACAGAAAGGCTTCTGCCGCAAGACACTATGTGAATAAAAATAACAGCAACAAACCTGAAAGTCGTCCATTTGTTCTAAAGCGGAGTCCACATCAGTTGCAAGTCTCATCGGCGATTCAACCTTAACTCTTATCTTTGTCACCCATACATTGACTTCATCTACGCCCTCGTGCCACTTTTGCAGTTTGTCGTCTTGCTGCATCTTGAGTTTCTGAATCGTGTCATCAATCCTGGGATAAGAGAGAAAGCATGGTCTCGTTTAAATCGGCAAAGAGGCTCAACGGGGAAGCATTAACTTGTTATGCCCGTCAGTTCAGTTATGAATATTGTTCATAGAAAGCGCCGAAAACCCTTTATTCACCGAGGATTTTGACAAAACATTCCAAACATCTTTCTTTTGCATTATCGTACTCTTGCCTCGATCTCTCCCTCAAGGGAGGTATCGACCTTTTCATCATGGTATTGTACAAAAACACGGGCAAAAATACCAAATGCAGCTATAGATCTACTGAAAGTGACAAAAAGACAAAGAAATTGCTTATTAGACTTACTCATTTAGAATGATGAAAGCTCAGTTAACGAATATGACAAATATCCTACTACCTTTCGGTTTTCCACGAGACTAACTCCTCTAGATTCTCCCAGCGGTGACCAAGATCCAGGACTTCTTTCTGTATTGCGGTCCTGTCATCCTCTGGAAGTTCAGAGTCTTTCAAAAGTTTGTCCCCAGTCTCCAGAGCGTCGCTAACTTCGCGTTGATGGGATAACATCTCGGTGTTGAAATCCTGCAGTGACCAATCAATAAATCAATCAATCAATCAATCAATAAATCAATCAATCAATCAATCAATCAATCTATTTCTCATAAAACCAATCAGCCAGTAACTTGATCGGTCGATCAACAGATCAACGAATCCCTGTATCGATCAATTAATCAATCATTCAGAAGGTCAGTCAAACCAAAGCTTCATTTTGCAGATGTTCAATGACGTCTAATGTGCTTTAGGAACTCCGAAAAATTTAAGACTAAATGATGGTTATTTAAGAGAGTGAGATTATCTATTCTTAAGCTCCTTAATTTGGATTTGATGGACTATCAACACCATAGGATGTATCCTTAGGGAAATGCTTAGAGACAGTTCTTTTTAAATACTAACATAATTTTCAAAGAATAAAGGCATGTGAAGATTTACCTCAAGATCATTTTTTTGCTTCTTCACGGTGTCGAGATCTGGAGCAATTTCAAACTGGGTGTTCACTCTGTTCTCCGCTGATGAAATCCACATCATGAGAGGATCTATCTTTCTTCTCCAATTTTGGGTCTTGTCCAAATGTTGCTGTTCCTTTTCAAGAAGTAGAACTTGGACACTAGAAACAACAAACGCTGTGATGTGAGCTGAGATAGATGGAGACAAAAGCCTGAACTCAGGTCAGCTTTAATCAAACAACTTCCTTGTCCCCTTACAGTTTAAAACCCACGCGAAAATTGAAGCTACTGTGACAAACAAATACGTTTGCTATGAAGATCTTTCAGTCTTTTTCATTCTTCGTAAGAGCAAAGCAGAATATGGATAGTTAAGTCACAAAGATAAGCATTACATTTGAAACAAATAGTAGTGCATTCCTCGGCTAGAAAGATACAATTAGAAGTAGTTAATACATTTTCTCTGTAAAGTTCCATATCTCGACCAACCAACCTTTGTTGTTTCCCGGAAGTCAAATTAGCCAGTTTGTTCCAGTCGTCATGAAGTGCGATCATCTTTTCGTGGACTTGTTTCCTTTCCCCTTCAGGGATGGAATCGTCGTCGATAATCTGATTTCCCTCGTCAATGATTTCGTTTACTTCACCTTGTTTAGTTACCAAATCTTTTACTAAATCCTATAAGCAGACAGTCAAATGCGAATCAATCAGAACAGAGTACCTGGAAAAACGTTTCAAACCGTCATAAAGAAAGTCTCACAGTCATATTATTACAGGCTACCTCCTTCTCAACAACAACAACAACGACGACGACGACGACAAAAACAAAATAACTCGTCTACTGTAGATTTACAATTTCTACATTAAGCTATGTACTTTCTACCGCGGTCTATCAAAACAAAGCGTTAGACGGAAGAGGGAGTAAAAATTTTAAAACTAACAGTCAGTCAGGTCATAACGAAACCCGTGCCAAACTCAAAACCGTTTGCTGGAATCATAACGAACTACGATGTAAAATGAAACCAAATGTAAACACTTCCTTTGAAAAAACACATGGGCCAAAATGAGGAAATACTTGTTATTTATAGTCCACATGCAAGCTTACCTCGATAACGCTTTGCTGTCTTTTTATTCCTCCAAATGATGACTCAGGTGAGGTCGGTCGGGAACGCAGCCTTACGTATTTGTCGTTCACCCATTCATGGAGAGTGTCGCATCGCTCGTGCCAAGTCGCTATGCTTCTTTGTTTTGCTTGAGAAGCCCCAAGTTCGACTCCAAGTCTGCAATAACTCACACAAGTTAAAACAGCTGAACGAAACAAGTCATTGAATAATGCACATCCAAAATCAATCGAGCTTTATATTATCCCACTGAATAGATCGCTAACAGCAAGCATGATAAAAATCGTTCAGAATCTATTTGTTTTTCTACTATTGGGCAGGTGGTACGCTTCAGCCTTCAGTACGAGCTATGGACGTACCTGGCGTATTCCTCTTGGGATACTTTCATGAGGGCCTTCCATTTTTCTTCCAGGAGAACAACATCATCGGAAACAGCTTGACGAGTACCGTCACTCAGGTCTTTGTTTGAGGACAACTTTCTGCCGTGATCTAAAGTGTCATTCAACTCAGGTTCGGTATCACCAAGGTCCTTTGTTAGGTCCTAAAGTTCAACATGCCAAAATGAATAATGAGTACACCAAATTAAAGGAATGAAAGAAATTAAAATCTGTCTTTCAAACTGCATGTAAACCCAAAGATGAGCCAGCAATTACATTATTTTCTTGACCTGACTCATTGCTGTATTGTCGATTAGAATACAGAACTGGGTTTTTTACAGCGCATTTACATAATTTTCACCTAACAACGAAATATCTCGTGACAAAATAAGAAAAAAAAATGCATAAAATTTCTCCTTGACTACCACAGACCTTTGCTTTTGCTTTAAGCCCTGAGTCACTCATTCAAGCAATCAAACGACTCCGTAATTTGCGTTTTTCCGCCCTCGGTGCCGCTTATGTATAATAGGCCATTCTCGAGTTTGCCTTTTGCCTCTGTGTCAAAAGAGTCTTCTTGCAAAACCATTCATATGAAAATGTGTTCCCTCTACAGGTTCTTTTTCATGGAAGACAAACTCATTTTGATATGAAAGGTTTTGAACGAAGACTCGTTTTGAATGTATCTCGGAAATGGCCTATTCTGATTTAATTTCCTTTGAATTTTTACGAGTTTATTGCGTAGCTAATGTTTTCCCAGACAAAATATTGTGACTGCCGTGAGTTAAGTTTTGCAAAACCAGTCTAACCAAAAAGAAAACCTCACGTTCGCAATAAGCTCAAACTGATCTTGAGGTTGTCCCAAGCAACTATGAGCAGCGTCAGAAGCAGAAACATCCACAAACATAACAAGTACAATGGAAAATCACTCTATATTTAATAACACGCGATATAATATCGCTACCATTTCTCACCTATTATATAGTTTTTGATATACAACGACCAAAAATTTTGTCACATTTTTTTCTTTCAAATGAGACCATGGCACGGTCTTCTTATGCACATGAAACAGACCCACACCTTCAGCTTGTTGTAACAGCTTTCTATCTCATCGTGACTCTTTGCTTTCTTTCCTTCTTGTATTATTGCATCAGCAGCGTCCATGTGAGTCTTTACGATGTTACATTTCTCACGCCAGTCTTCCATAATTTTCGTTTCAGCGTTCATTGCTTCTAAGCGTCCTTGCAGTCTATGTACGAACAGCACAAAACAAAAAGTTAATTTTACAACGGATATGGCCGTTTATCAGGATCGACTGCGAAGCTCAGCCTATTTTTGACAGAACAGTCGCATAGTTAAACTGGGACAAAGGTCCTTTTCACAAATACAGTGGAAATTTTGGGAATGAGCGTTTTGCATGCAATTATTCAAATCGGTTTTCTCGCTAGCTAGTTGTGAATTCACAGTATCAGTCTTGCACCTGGCTACTCTGTACTATGAAAGATAAGGCTCCTTGTATCGATAAAGTCTTGAGATAAGGTCTTGAGATTTTTTTGCTACCGACTACATGTATGGAGTTCAGGTGCCGCTTAATGAAAAAGTAGAGCAAAAAATTCATTTTGCATTGGTATGAGCCCATAATATCATAAGAAAGTTCCATATTTTGACTTTAACTCTTTAACGGCCATCTTGGCAAACGTTATAAATTGAGACATAATTTACGACATTGTCAGAACAATCGCGTCTATATGTTGTTTACCTGAGAACTTCTTCATCACTGGCTCGCTCCATGCTCAAGAAGTCTCCCTCCAGCTGATCTAAGTCCCGTTTGACATTCGCCTTGACACCGTCATCGAGAGCGTCGTCCTCCAAAAGTTCCTTTCCATATGCAAAGCCGTCACTCATCTCGGGTTTCGATGCCTGCAGTTTATCTTTGCACTCCTACATACAACATAAACTAGTAAGTGGGATACGATCAACAGACGAGACGGATATCTTCTGATATATTTCTTAAGAACTTGCTCTAGTTATGGGTTGCTAGTCTCGCTAGGACGACTGCTTGAATTGTTTTCCAGCAGCTTTAAATAGTTTGAGATGAATTTAGTTGTATTTTCTCTTTACTCCGCCCATACCTTTAAAAGGCAGCAGCAGAGTAGCTAAATGTGTCTTAGCGAAGTACACTAGGATATGAAATGAAGTAAGAGGATGAAAAGAAGAAAAGAAAAAAGGGAAAACACCGATGGAAATAGCCGTGGTTTGTAAAAGGTGTGCATATACTTGATTTAGCCCAATTAAATACGTTATAATACCAAAAACAGCCAACCAAACAACCAAACAAACAAAAACATTGTCCCTGTAAAGGAAACACACAAAGACAACAGATTCCAGATCTTACATTGGCTAAGATAATTTGCTGTTCAAGTTCCTTTCCATCTTTTGGTTCCTCCTTTGATTTTAGGTCTGCCAGCTTATCTTCACAATCGCCCATCAACTCCTTGATGCGAGTGGTCCAGTTCTCCCAGTTTTTCAATTTTTGCCTTTGACCATGTACTTGAAGAGCTTCTTCCAATCTGTAAAGTTTTCCGAACAACATAAGTACATAGTTACTAAAAGATCACGTTAGGTCATGTACGTTCTTAGTAAGTGTTTTGCTAAATTAAAACTACAACTAGACTTTATTAATGACGAGTTTTTCGCTAATACTAGTTATCAATGTCACGGACGGTACGTGGCTATCGCAGTAAACATCGTCTTAGATTTTATCAATTTTTTCTATGCTCAATTTTATTTTGAATTATCTTTGTTGCAGCAACTATCGAGAAACACCTTAATAATATGTACGGTCTTCTCTATGCAATGGTAACCCCTATATGTCCTTTCCATATGTGAAGAAAATCACTGGTTAGTGGTAAGCGCAATACCGAAGAAAGGATAGGAAACGCAACGTACAGTCAGACCAAAGGAAGAAAGCAAGTGGAATAATGTCCCGGTAACATGTTTCACAAGACTTAAGGTGATACCTCTTGTGTTCATCGTCATTAGCCTGTTCCAGTTTCACGAGGTCTCCTTCGAGATGATGGACGTCCTGCCTAATCTTTGCCCTGTTGTCTTCATCGATCAAGTCATCTTCTAGCAGGTGCGATCCATATTCAAGACCATCGGTGATCACGGGTTTGGCAGACTGTAACTCCTCTTGAAATTCCTGACATGAAGGGAATATACACCTGACTTAAAATACAGCATCTAACAGAAGCAGCATGCGTAGTATGCGACAAAAGAATGAAAAGAAAGCAACACATAAATTCACATAATTTTGTGACCTTTGGAGAATAAGCTAGCCTGCAGATTTTCGTTGGCGCAATCTCGCAATCCGAGCTAGCCCTCGAGCTTCACGCTCTTATATTGCGGTCGCGCTACCCTCCTCCTCGTCCCCCCTTCCCCAACCCCTCATCAAACCGCCTGTCATGCAGGTCAGAAATGGAAGTATGCAGACAAGCCAAGGGATGACCAACAGTATGTGAGAGTAGTTGTCTTATTACATAACAGAAACGCGCCAAGATGGCAACCCAACCATATACTCATTGTTCGAGGCTTGTACCTTTGCCTTCATCGATGCACTCGTATAAAATGTCAAATCCTTACAGAATGAACGATAAGGTATGGAGAATTCTTCAATTTAAATCATTATTAAAAACTAACCTTGGCTAGAACGATCTGATCTTCAACTTCAGTCTGATCTTGCGGCTCTCCCTTGGACTTGAGATCTACAAGCTTTTCCTGACACTTTTTCTCTAGCTCGGTTATACGAATCATCCATATCTCCCACTGTTTCAGCTTCTGCTCCTTCTCCTCATTTTGTCGGACATATATTTGCCCCAGCCTTGAAAAGAGTTACAAACATAAAAAAACAAACAAACAAACAAACAAAAAAAGGAAACAAGGCCATTTAGATTGGAAGTCTTAAATAATAGAGGTACAGGTAAAGATGCAGATCAATTCTAATGTAGCGCGTATATGTCGAATTCATTGAACCAGGTATCGCTAGGGTGACTTTTCTCTAAACGTGATTAATTTTTTTTACTTCTCTAAAGTTGTGCAAGAAATAGCCTACAAAGAAGGTTCATCAAGAACGCGCAATGATTACGCTGTTTTTGACCAAAACGTACTGACTCTGGAAATTATAAATATACCTTAGTTATGCACCATACCTTATTTTTTCTTTAGCGGCTTCCTCTTTAAGACCCTTCAGGGTTCGTTCCATGTCGANTGAATGGCTATTCATCGGCTAACGTAGATGCTTCTCTTGTCATTGCGACATAAGGCTTAACCGTTTATTACCTGCCCTGCTTATCAGCGTTATCCTTCTCCATTTTGTCCAGATTATATTCTACGTCATTCACGTCTTTCTTTATCTCGGCCTTTACATCGTCATCGATGACATTATCATCCAGTAACAGCTTTCCATAGTCAAGACCCTCATGGATCACGGGCTTTGCGGCCTCTAACTCTACCTTGCATTCCTGCATCAATAAAAAGGAGTTTGGTTTCCTTTCCTTTCTTTCTTTTGTTGTTTTTTGTTGTTGAATTTTTTTTTCAACGTACAGTAGATGGAACTGCTGGGGTAATGCTTCTAAAGATTGGTTGAGAGCAAGCTCAAAGATTGGATAAGAGAAAGATTTTCTTACGTTTGCACTGAAACTACTGTGGTATGTTAAGACCTGTGAACAATGCCAAAAAGCAACGACTGTTGGCCCTACGTCAACGTGTTTGTTTTGTCAGCTTTAACCGGATGCAGACTACTTTAAAATCACTCCTCTTCAACACAATGCATGAGCAGCCTTTTAACCGATTAGACAATCACTGTGATCCTGGTTTACCCTGACGTTCCCTGACAAATACTGACTAACCTTTGCTAGGATCATTTGCTCTTCGACGTCCCTCTTGTTTTGTGGTTCACCAGTCGATTTGAGGGCTTCTGTCTTTTCTTGACATTGGTCTTGTAGTTTTCTAATTCGAATAATCCATAATTCCCACGTTTCAATTTTCTCTACTTTCTCTTGGTCTTGTTTCAGACTCAAGCTCTCTAACCTTGAAAAAGAAGATTCGGAAAAAATATCTAATAATTCACTAATATGTTAGCCGCAAAGGATATGAGTGTAAATTTGCTGTCCCGATTGACAGTCGTACCTGGTGACCGAAACTTACTCTTTCTCGTAATCATTCAATTCCAATTTAAGGTTCTTAAATCCCTCTCCGATCTCTTTTACATCTTTCTGTATAGCCTCCTTGCCCGACGGATCAACACCTTTGTCACCGATCAGTTTGTCAGCGTACTTAAACGCATCCTGGATCTCTGGTACTGATTCTGCGATCTCAGATGAGCATTCCTGTGGGAACAAATCAACTCAATTTAAAAGGATGAATACATGTATATTATTCGCTTCAATTATTCATCGTTTCGCATTGATCACTCCTAGTGGTTTTAATGAACTCTCAATTAACCATCTCACAGTAGCTTCATACCTAATTTGATAAAGCACCTGCACTGTAACCACAAGGGCCATCGGTGTTGGAATATAACGATAAAGATCTTACACTCCTTCTTAAGGCATTCATAAGCTTGAGTAAACGATGGTCAAAACGGGTTTTCAGAATCGTAAGTGATCACTTTTTAAATATTTTGTTGAATTGTTTTTGGCTGTAATGAAGCACGTTAAACCAATAGAAGAGGTTAGGGAAAACGACAAAAGTTCTCCACATGCATACGGTTTTGTCTCGTAGTTAAAAAGGAAATAACCTTATTGAGCTTTGCATTCTCGACAATGAACAATCGTACGCTACATTATCCACCTTTCCGTGCCCGTCTCTTGTTTTCAAGAGACGCCACAGAGGCCAAATTGGTTTCCACACAGCCACCAATGAACTCTGTTCTTAAGGAAAAACGTTTCCCCTTTATTGGAAACACATACTACTGATTTTTAAAATATTATAAAACGCTTAATCATGGCTATTCGTATGACTTACCCGTGTGATTTCAAGCTGTTCTTGTACTTTCTTTGGCTCCTTAGGAATTCCTTGACCTTTGACTTTGTTAAACTTTCCTCTGGTCTTTTTATATTTGGAATTCAACTTGTCTCGCCAGTCCGTCCATTTCTTCATCTTTTCCAGCTTTTTTTCATCCTCTGCGTACGCTTCTGACAACAAGGCACTCAACCTACAATAAGGCAGACAAGAAACAATCAATCAATCAATCAATCAATCAATCAATCAATCGATCGATCAATCAATCAATTAATCTATCAGTCAGTCAGTCAGTCAGTCAATCAATCATCCATCCATCCATTGTTCAATTGTTCCAGCGAACAACAATGGTCACATAAGAAGCCGCTGCAGAATTAAATGACAGTAGCATTAGATGCTAATTGAGTTAAATTATAAAAGCTAAAAATGCTACATTTACACTCATAATCGGGACCATTTCTAACCTATCTTGCTCGTCGTTGATGTCTTTTTGTAGAATTTGGAATTCCTGTCCAAGGTTGTCCATGTCCTGCTCTATTTCATTCTTCTCCTCTGTACTAAGCTGTTTATCCCCAAGAAGCTCATTACCGTAATCGTAACCAGACTGAATCTCAGGAAAAGCAGACACGATGTCGTTCGTACATTCCTATAAGGAAGAGTTATAATTAGATGTAAACGTGTTTTAGATTCCCACAGAAGTCTACTAACCTCATGTATATTTCACATACAATATTTTATATACAAAAGATTGGGTCACTTGGAGACGCACAAAGGACTCACTTATTCTCTATTTTCCAATTGCCCATAATGCACTCTGGTTGCCCCCCATATTTTGCATAAACTATTGTTGTGAAGTACTCTTGGAAGCTCTGCATATTCCTAAGAGCATTTCACAACAACAGTTTATGCAAAATTTGGGGGGCATACAGAGTGCATTATGAGCAATTGGAAAATGGAGAATGGAAGCCTTACAACTGAATTTGACGAAGAGGAGATAGCGCGAGGAGGTGACGAAGAGGAGGTAGCAAGGGAGTGAGTGATCGAGTACCGAGTGACCGAGTGGACGAGTGCGCTCGTAATTAAAAGAAACAAATCAACCTTTGCTGACCTAGCCACATCAATATAAAATGTTTTTCACCTGTAGCTCCTGTAACCCTTTTTGTATTTCAGGGGCGGTTTGAGGATCCTTCAATTTAATCCCATCAAGTTTTGATCGGCCGTCAACTATTATCCTTGATGTATTCTCTTTAATCTCGCGCCACTTATCCAGCTTTACCGTTCTTTCAGTGTCTTCCCGAGAAACTGCGTCCTCCAGTCTATAAGATCAACAATTAAAAATTAATGTAGTGGTTAGTCTTTTCGAAACTCCCCTTTCCGCCAGTAAAGTTATGGAAAACACGTCAGGAGACAGCCGAAGCTAACTTTAAACATTCTAAAAAAAACCCGTTGAACTGGTCGAGTAAAAGAATAGTCATGATCAATGAGCTTTATTTTTACAAGAATCATAAAATCAGCACAACACCGTTCTCCCCAGTGACCCTACTGGGTTAGAACTAGGATGACAATATGTAAAGCGATTACAGATGACTTAGAATGAAAACCAGTTTAAACACGAAATCCTATGCACGATTGTTATCACAATCGTCCCAAAGGACATTACCTCTTTACTTCATCAATCGTGTTCTTCTTGAGATCCTCGTATCTCTGTTCGACATCATGTACGTCCTTTACCAATTGATCTTTCTGATTTGCATCAAGATTCTCACTTTGTAAAAGATTATTTCCGCCGTCCGTAACTCTTGTCACTTCCGGCTCAAGGGCACTGACCTCATCGGACAAAGCCTGTGAGAAAGACAGCGTAAAAAAGACATGTTGAAGTATCAGTTTGACAGTGTCTGAGGGCTCTATTTTCCTCTGGGCATCTCATTACCTTTACGGTAAACTAACACCATTATCAGATCCAAAATTCCCGTTGAATAAATTAAATCATTCGAAAGTTCACACAGAAACGAGTGCTAAACTCACCTTTGCTGCAGCTAAACGTTCTTTGCTCGGTTTAAAATCATCAGGCTTTGGATCTTGTTTTTGACTGCGTAACGTTTCCTCGCATAAGTCAAGTTTGTCGTTCAAGTCATCTCGTTTCAACTCCCAATCCCGAATCTTGTTTCGCTTTTCCATCTCCACGTAAAGGTCATCAAGGCTTTAAATAATGAAACAGTGACAAAAACTAAGTAAGTACAAAATATATACTTGAAGAGAAAGAAGCTATCTATCCAGGATTATTATGAATTTCAATGATAATGATAATTCCATTTTTGTCACTTAGTTTTTGGCATGATTGAATAAAAAAGTATTTTTTATAATAGGCTATAGAGTAACCGGGACATAAAAATTATATCAAGGACAATTTGTGTTTCTGTGTTCCTGTAACCGGCGGCCGACAATTTCTGGCCGTATGAATCCACGTTTGTTCCCAAGAGACGTTAGAAATAAACATGTACAGTGTATATGTAATGATCAGTCTTAGCATTCTCTTGATCTAGCCCCTAAATTTGTTTCAAGTAGGTGAAGAGAAGGTAGACATGCATGTGGATTGCCGGTATCGTAACAGAAAAGGAAACAAACCTCTCTTGTTCGTCATCAATAAAGTTTCTCAGATCGTCATAGTTTTCCTGCAGCTGGGCCATGTCACGTGCCATGTTTTCTTTCTCGTTTTCGTCAAATAGATCGTCTTGCGTCAGCTCTCGTCCATATAATATGACGTCCTGGAAGAGAGGCTCGCCTGCCTTCAATTGAGAATCACATTCCTGAAAAAAAAAAGCATAAAATTTTAAAACAAGACAATCTGCAAACTGAAGATATGTATGTATAGCACTGAAGTGTTGGATTTTCTCAGTTCTATAACGAGTGTCTTTGTATTAATCTGGGTGATTTTTTTAACATTATAATTTACACAACGAATATTCAAGACTTGTTTTCTGGCTCATGTCTTTACCTTAACAATGTTTTGCTGCTCTTTAACTTCCTGTAAATCTTTTGGTGCTCCCCTAGATCTTAAGCTGTCCAACTTTTGTGAGCCATTTCTTAAGACAAGCACGATGGCGTTTCTTTTGTCCTGTAACTTAGCAAGTTTAGAGTCTTTCTCGGCCTCTTTGTCCGAGCTGAAAACGAAATGAGTACGTTAAAAAGAAAGAAATTTGTCAATAAACAGTCAAAAGGGCTGTTTAACTCTGTTAATG